TACAGGCACATTTGGCGGGGTTTAACATGTTTGCAAGCGCTCAACCCTCCCTTTATCAAGGACAATGGTGTAACAACTTATCAGAAACACAAGCTTTAAAATCATTTACAGAGGGCTTAACACATCAGATGGGTACTTATAACACATAAAAATAACAAAAAAGCACAGAAGCAACAAGCTAATTTAAAGCCAGATTATAGCTAATAAATAAACCCTGTTCTCCATGACTAAAAATCTCCATCGGTACACATCAAATTGGTTGCACACAACTTTGAAACTTGAGTTCACAAATTTAAACCTTGTGCACAGATCGTTGCAATGTGCGCATAACACAACGTTGAATATTTCCCCCTCAACTGTCATTGCCAAAGATATACCACAGATATCCAAAAAGGCACGTTAAAGGTAGTATTTGACAGTTCTTATTGATAAAAAAGTGATGGAGATTGCATGGAAATATACATAGCCTAGGAAGAAATGTATATTAATTTTAGCTATGACTTAAACTTTCTGTTTAATAACAATCCGAAATTTTCTATGTGTTGTAAGTGGAACGTACCTCAACAACATCTCACTGGAATGAAAAGAATTAAGACGTGTAAATACTTTTATGGACTTCCGTCGAAGATGTTATCTCTCCTTTCGGCCTATTTCGCATTGTGAGATATTTTCATCCTTTGGCATCCATCGTCTGAAAATTGCACATTTCATCTTCTTATCATACACATTTTCCCTAATTGGTACTCGGACTGATTCCTTAGTTATATCCTGTTACCAATATATTGAAATATATAGGCTAACAATTTTTTTTTGTTATGATTTATCATTTTGTTTTTGTCAATGTATAAATATTTAAATACAAGCAGTTATTTTTTACTTCAAATTTCATCCTTTGAGATTGCTAGTATCTATATATTTCTATGTTAATTTTTTATTTAGTCGAAATCATATGTAATTCACATCCTTCATGTCTTCGTTGACCAGAGGTAATCAGAATCAATATATGTTTTAGATGATCTGAGTTAACCAAATTAATTATATGTGTACCGTGAACAGAAAATCAGTGTAAGGTGAACAGAGGTAACCACGGTCAATATCTGTTTTAGGTGACCAGAGGTAACCAAATTGAATATATGAGTAAGGAATCAGAGGTCACCTAATTTAATATTTGTGTTATGTTAACACAGTAACCTTTCATTATCCGAGTAGGTTGACCATGATAGACCAAAGTTGATATGTGTGTACAGAGACACGAGGTAGCCACAGTAAAAATTTTTGTAAGGTTACCAGAGGTAACCATAGTCAATACCTGTATTAGGTAACCAGAGGTAACCAAAGTCAATATCTGTGTAAGGTGACCAGATGTAACCATAGTCAATATCTGTGTAAGTTGACCAGAGATAACCAAAGTCAATATCTGTTTTTGGTTATAAGAGTAACAAGTCATTAACTGAGTAGGGTGACCATGATGAAACAAAGTTGATACGTGTGTAAAAAGACACGAGGTAGCCATAGCAAAACTATTTGTAAGATGACCAGAAGCAACCATAGTCATTATATGTGTAAAGTGACCAGAAGTAACCAAAGTCAATATGTGTGTAAGGTGACCAGATGTAACCTTAGTCAATATATGTGTTAGATGACCATAAGTAACAAAGTCAATATCTGGGTAAGTTGACCTGTGGTAACCAGTCATTATGTGAGTTAGGTGACCACGATGAAAGTCAATATATGTCTAAAGAGACACGAGGTAGCCAAAGTAAAGATCTTTGTAAGGTGACAAGAGCAAATCAAAATTACAGTACAATATCTATGTAAGGTGACCAGAGGTAACCAAAGTCAGTTTATATGTCGGAGTAACAGATGTGTAAAGGGATACGAGGTAGTAAAAATTAAGATCTGTGTAAGGTAACCAGAGGAAACCAAAATTACAGTGCAATATCTGTGTTAGGTGACCAGAGGTAATCAAAGTCAATATCTATGTAATGTGAAAAGAATAACCTAAGTAGATATCTGTTAATGGTGACCATAAGAAACCAAAGTCAATATATGCATGTGTATGGTGATCACAGGTAACACAAGTTAATATCTGTGTTAGATGACCAGAGGTAACCAAAGTTTATATCTGTGTAAGGTGACCATAGGTTACTAAAGTTATTATCCGTGTAAGGTGACCATAGGAAACCAAAGTTAATATCTGTGTAAGGTGACCATTGGTTACTTAAGTTATTATCTGTGTAAGGTGACAATATGTATCAAAAGTGAATATTTGAATAAGATGACAAGAGGTAACCAAAGTGAACATCTTTGTTAGGTGACCAGAGGTAACCAAAATCAACATTTGAGGAAGTGAGTTGACCATAGGTAACCAAAGTCAATATCTGTGTAAAGAGAAGAAAGGGAACAACAGTCAATACTTGTATAAAGAGAATCAAATCCGTACATTGTCAGTACCTGTGTAACCAAAGTCAACATCTGTTTAAGGTGAACATATCCAATATATGTAAGGTGATAACAAAAGGAAAACTTGGTCAATATATGTGTTAGGTGACCGTTGGTAACCAAAGTCAATATATGTATAGGTGACCAGGGGTAACCTATATCAATTTTGTTTTCTTTATAATTTTGTTTTACTTTTTGACACTGTGATGACATCGTCATATGACATACTTTATCAATAAACCTAAAAAAAACCCTAATATTCATATATTATGTGCCAGCAATAATAAGCTGTTTATCTTGTAAGAACTAATCGTAGCTTACTTTCTCTTTCAACCGGAAATACACTCATCATCATGACCGTGGTTACAAAGCAAATTGTCGAAATCAATTGTTATTGAACCAGTGGTCCACAGCTTCCACAATAAAGTACATTACATTTTGATGTTGATTTAACTGTGTTCTAAAACTATTACAACGTCATTATATGAATAATATTGTTTGAACTACAATGACACATCAATCATTGTCATAAAGGAAAGTTGATTGGATAATAGTGATAGATTGTCACTCCTACATAAAACTAATGTCCTATGAACTGACTTCATATAGATGTCAATATGAGGAAAGCATATTCCAAATGAATATATTAAGAATCTTGGTTGGAAACTTGTATTTGATATTTGAAAAAAAAGTTTACATAGTATAGTACATATATTTATAACTCTAATTGGTTCAGTAATAGACAATTTGGTAACGTTGAACATGAAATTGTAGAAAAAGTGTGAAATGTCGGTCTACTCTCCCTTTTTTTTTTCAGACAATCCACTTTAAGGAATACAAAGATCTGCAAGTTTTGGGATTTTATAAGTACTGAAAATATTTAACAAATTAAAAATCTCAGACAGAATTATTTGTTTTCTCTCAACATTGTCTGTTAAGATAAGAAGGCTTATCATCCCGAATTCCCTGGAAAAAAATGCTGATTACCAAAATTACCCCAAAACATAAAGCACTCTTTCCCGAATCCGTAAAAATTAATCATTCATTCCCGAGTCCAAATAAGTGTAAATACCGAATTCTCGCAAAAAAAAAGGCCCAACCCGACGCCGAAAAAGGTCCTATCAACCCTGTCTGTTTTATAGTTCAGTTTATTTGAATTTAAAGTAATTAAAATCAAACAAAAATATTCTAAAACAAATTCGTCTACAGACACGTGAATTGAAATAGGTTACTAGATCGTCTGGATTTTTCTAGAAAATAGCCAATGAAATGCATAAATATCCAATGTCATGGGTCAAGCACGGACTGTCTTAATTAATAGGGATGGGTGCTTATCCGGTACTTCAAAGAATAGATTAATTTTAAACCCAAATATAGAATGTACCACAGAACTTAAATTCACTTGAATACATTGACATATTATCTTGTCGCTATCGAAGCCCGTCAGACACCTGGCTTAAATCAACGGAAGAGACTTTGATATTGTTTGAAATTTTAATGACTATTAATTTTCACGGGAACGAAGATTTTGCAACTGCGTAGTAGTAATTAGATCATCAATGGAGTCATTTTGAAAATTAGACTCCAAGGTCGAAACTAGCTCTATCTCATATTGAGGAATATGTGCACCGTCTTGAAGCATGTAATCGAGCTTTTGTTTGTGGACAGATGATGCTGGTGGATAAAGTCGCACCGACTTTAAGCAATGTAGAGTCCACAGAGAAATGACGGTTTGAGGGATTGAGGTATGTACTATTTGCATAAAGATATTATATATGCAGAATATTTGCTTTCATTTCAACTTGATTCAAACTCAATTATGTATATGTTATTGTTTATTTTTTGGCTTTGTGGTAAGAAATAAACAAATATTCAATTCATTTCTTCTGTCTACATAAATGATTAAAAAATACAATCTCACGAGAAATAATATCTTAATTGTGTCATTTGGAAATTTATTTGTTTACTTTTACACAACAACCCCTATCTAAATAGGTAAAGGAGGTTTATTTACGAATGAACCATTTGTTTTAACTTTAGATAAAAATCATAAAATCATATTTGAAAAAAAAGGTTTTTATAAATCGATATTGTTTCTATTTGTTAGACTTTTTTTTTTCAACTTCCCCTTCTGTAATTAATTCGTCTTCTTCAAGAAATTTAAAATTGATTAACTTATTTTAAACACGTGGGCCACTGGAGTGTTCTGTTTTTTTGGGGTAATTACAACCCCGTAAATTCCTACGGGTTACCTTAAAGTTTATTGGTCTATAATCGACACTGTGGCTGATTTAAAAAGCAAGACCGTATACAATATATACAAATTTATGCACACAAGTTTACAGCTTGAAAGCTAGGGGAAGACTCCCAAGCAGCAGTTTCCAAAACAATTATAATACATTCAAAGTTAACAATCTTAAAAACGTTACTAAGTGTTCTGATAAAATATGAATTATTATTGTCCAATCTTATGTAATTCATTGTGGGATAATCGGATTATTTTCCTCCGGCAAACTTCGTAAAATAGCGATAATTGCTTCTATTGGAGTTGAGTGTAAAATACATGTATTATCTTTCGCACTTGTAACTGCTATCGGGTTAAGTTGAAAAATAGTAAATCTATAATCTATTTCGGCATTTGAGATATAAAGAAACATTTAAAACAAGAAATATTCAATCTAAACCGAGAGTTCATATAAAGCACATTGCGAATTATAGTAAAAGTTCCTAACGTCACTTTTCTTCCGGTTATATAATTTTCATGCTGGCAAGACAATTGTAACTCGCAAACACATTCTATATATCGATGATTTATTCCCAGGGTCGTCATATTTTAATGTTTTGGAATAGCGCTGAAAGAAAATTGAGATAATGAAATATCCATCTACCGAGTGGTGCAGAAAAACCTCCATTAAATTTGATAAGATATGCAAATTGCTAGATACAATATAACATTGGGAATGGAAACGGGGAAAATTTGGTTCTTTTCAATATTCAAAACATTTATCATTATTTTAGCATTTTCATTGTGTGAGAGATGAATTCAATGATACATTTTGTAAGAAATTAAAATTTCTTTTCTAGGGTGAGGAAAATATCGTATTTCCTTTATTGCACAAATCACTACTGGACTGGGGAGATTGAACTGTTAGATACTGCTGGAAAAGAGTCGTCAACGTTTATGAATCGACATGTCTAATACCTGCACATTTAATTTAGGCTGTGTTTGTGAAACTACGATTAATTTCATCTTTTGTGAAAAAAAAATCACAAGTCGCTGTTGTCCGGTAAGTCAACCTTGTAGTGATTTACAGTAAAATTAATGCACAGAGAGCAGAGGCCGCAAAATACATGTGTGCATCAAATTAATATGATCATAAAACAGAAAACTGTGCACTCAGAATTGTGCATAGCAAATAGTGATGTTATCAGAATCTTTCATTGTTTTAATGCACATTTTCCAATGATCTGACATCGGAAAGCGGCATTGGAGACCACTTGAAATAAATATGTAGATTTTGTATTTTCTTTAAGAGCAATTTTAATGTATATTTATTATGACATCAACAATAAATTTATGCAGAAGGAACACAGATGAAATAATTTGGCTTATGTAATATTTTTGTTCTTTAGTCTTCTGCATGATACTAAGAATACTGAAATTGGAAATATATCATCACTATGTAGGTATACACCTCTTTATCATTTTGACGGATGCGATTTAAACATATTTTTGTGCGTTATACATTACACCACAGACTTTCTTTATTCAAAGAATAAGTTAAAAAGTTCATAATTATTACTAAATCACAATGATGAAGAAGGTTTATAATATGATGTTTTTCGGATTCAAATAAAATAAAATTTGGTTAGCAACGCAAAATTTTGCAAACACATGTAATATTTGCAGTTTTGTGATGTGAAATCCAAGCCTCCGGATTGCTCATGTACATCGTCGCAATACAATTATAGTCCAGCTGGTCATGTTATTACTGGCGACCTTGGCATCGTTACCAAGGAACAACTAAGACAGTTGTTAGCCAAGGGACCAAAATATAGAATTCCCCAGCCCATCAACTGGAAAAAGAACTTCAGGTTACTGATGGATGCAGTTGAGGACTATGCAAGAACATGGGTAAAGCGCGAACCAGACGAACCAGAACTGGACATTTTGTCTGAATGGATCTAAGCTATTCGATCATGCATTCAGAAGCGCATTCAAAAAACTACGATGTACTATGAACACAAGAGTTACTAACCCTTTCAAGAATCCGGATGTTGTGGATGCTTTATTCTCTTTGCATGACAAATATGTCGTTGTTCCAGCAGATAAAGCCTCCAATAATATTGTCTTCATATGTAAAAACCATTATTTGCAATGTCTCACAACAGAGCTTGGAATAAATAGAACTACTGGTAATCCTACATATTCTTTAACATCATTTACCAAGGACGAAATTTTACAAAATCACAAATCTGTCCTTCTTTCTTTTCGTATCAACATCAAAGAAAACGAAGAAAATTTACCATCATTATACTGGATACCAAAACTTCACAAAACTCCATATAAAGAACGTTACATAGCTGGGTCATCAAAATGTTCGACTAAACATCTTTCTAAAGTACTGACTACTATTCTTTCTACAGTTAAAGATGGGCTTCAAAAATATTGTGATGAGATATATTCTACCAGTGGTGTTAAGCAGATGTGGATTCTCAAAAATTCGAAAGATCTACTGCTTAATCTTCGATCACAATCTTTGCAATTTTGCAGCAACATAAAGACTTTTGATTTTTCTAAGCTTTACACTACTATTCCCCATGCTCAGTTGAAAGATCGACTTCACCATCTCATTAAACAGAGCTTTTTCTATAAAAATGGGAATCGTAGATACAAATTTCTTGTTTTGGGTCACAATAATTCATATTTTGTGAAGAACCACACTGAATCTACCAGAAAATATACTGAAGATGATATTATCAAAATGCTGGACTTTTTGATCGACAATATATTTGTTGAGTTTGGAGGATTTATATATTCAACAGACAGTCGGTATTTCAATGAGTACTTATTGTGCACCCCTACTGGCCGATTTGTTTTTGTACTCGTATGAAGCAGAATTCATTCAGAACCTTCTAAAAGACAAAAAGAAAAAGCACCTTGCAAAATTCTTTAATTTTACTTTCCGATATATTGATGATGTCCTATCATTGAATAACCCATATTTCAGCCAATACTTACATCTCATATATCCCAGTGAACTTGAAATTAAGGATACTACTGATACTAGAAGGACTGCTTCATACCTTGATCTTTTCCTCAATATTGACACAGATGGACAACTTCACACGAAAATCTATGATAACGGGACGATGTCAATTTCCCAATTATCAATTTCCCATTTCTCAGCAGTAACATACCCTCTGCCCCTTCGTATGGTGTTTACATATCTCAGTTGATACGTTATGCTCGTGCATGTTCACACTATACGGACTTCATATACAGGAGTGTGCTCCTAACGCAGAAACTGCTCCAACAAAGTTATGAGGAGGACAGATTAAAAATGACACTCCGTAAATTTTACGGACACCATCAAGAATTGGTCGATCCATATGATGTGTCTTTGTCCAAACTAACTAAAGACATTTTTACCACGTGTTAGATTGTGGTTTGACATTACGTCGTCTGATCTTTTAATTACCGAACGTGACTTATTCCCTATTGTGACTGTTTTGCTCAGTGTGAAATCGCATTGCTATAAGACGTGTCACGGTACTTTTCTATCCAAAATTCATGTATTTAGTTTTGATGTTATATTTGTTATTCTCATCGGATTTTGTCAAATGTCTTATCGTTTGTAGTTGTAAATCTTATTTTTTTCAGTTGTATTCGTGTGTTATGATAAAGATAATTAATCACCCAGTTCATTTATTAGATTTTAGTTTGGGTCTACTAAATTTATACGATATATTTGGTTTACAGTTTGATTTAGAAGAAACACCGACAAAGCTAGATAATACTATTAATTATCTAATTACTACCACATTTTATATTAATTAGTATTGTAATTTTCATTGTTATGAATAAATGTAATATGAGTCTTTTAAACCAAATCTTGAATTCTATCCTAATTCTATTTTGGGGAAATTTCAGAAATTGAAATGTGACGTCACCTTTTTTTTGCGTTGATTTCTTTGGCTAACTCGGCTGTGAATTTTTATGTGCTGGTTTATGTTGTTTTATGTATCCGTTTTTATTCTGTAGTTAGTCAACACTTCGGTGTTATCATGTATATCTATTATATAGTCATTTTTTTTTTATAAATTTACTGTTTGCAAAAGTATGAATTATTCTAAATACTAAGGATTTTCTTATCCCAGACATATAACCTTAGCCGTATTTGGCACAACTTTTTGGAACTTTTGGTCCTCAATGCTCTTCAACTTTGTACTTGTTTTGGCTTTCGAACTTTTTTGATCTGAGCGTCACTGGTTAGTCTTGTGTGGACGAAACGCGCGTCTTGCGTATTAAATTTTAAACCTGGTACCTTTTGTAAGCTATTATTCGTATGTTTCTCTGTCCTATATGTTCTCCCATTTATTTGTATTGTAGTCCTGTCATGCAATGTTGTCATTTTGATGTTATATTTAACATTGCCTTAAAAGCGGGAGGTTTGGCTAGCCACAAAACCAGGTTCAACCCACCATTTTTTTCTTAAAATGTCCTGTACCAAGTCAGGAAAATGGCCATTGTTATATTATAGTTCGTTTCTGTGTGTGTTACATTTTAATGTTGTGTTTCTGTTGTGTCGTAGTTCTCCTCTTATATTTAATGTGTTTCCCTCAGTTTTAGTTTGTAACCCGGATTTGTTTTTTTTTTTCTCAATCGATTTATGAATTTCGAACAGCGGTATACTACTGTTGTGAGACATTGCCTTTATTTGTATCAAAATATGCCTTCAACAGCAACAGTTTGATTTTATGGAACTTTAATAATTAGATTGTGAATCAATAGTTACGAATACAATAAAAACTTTTTAACAATCAGTTTCAAGTAGGATTCTGCAAGTTTTAGATATCGACCTTGCAAGTTAAACAAATACAGGTGAAATTTGAGGTATCTTTTTGCGACGAAGAACATCCAAAACAATATATGTTTTTATCTATCTCATCGTTATTTATAAAAGACATCGTGAGATTTAGTAAAGATTGACTTTATGACTCTAGTTGGAAATATATGGCCTCTTTTACAAAAAGTAAAATCACAAAAATACTGAACTCCGTGGAAAATTCAAAAAGGAAAGTCCCTTATCAAACGGCAAAATCAAAAGCTCAAACACATCAAACGATCATTCACGCACATGGCGAAAATATATTAATTTCAATCGACAAAAAATGGCAACTTGTATGACAGTCGCATAAAATGCAATTATATTGATAACAAAGTGTGAGCAAAACAAGCAGACATAGTAAGTAAAATATCAAAAACATTGGGGTACAGCAGTCAATATCGTGTTATAATCCTAATTGTAAATCATCTATCACATCGACAAAAAAGAAAACTTTCATACACAATATTTTCATGCATTCCCATTTTATCTTACTTGTATACATCTTCTTTAAATGACAAATGAATCTCGTAAAATTTACGACTACAGAATATCTTTCACAGTTGAATACTAAATATATTATGCTGGATTTTTCTTTGTTTTGCACCGATCTTTTTCATTTGGGAGAGGGAGGACTTTTGGAAGTAAAATGTTTGATTAAATGTCTTGAAAAATGCATTGTTTGGTTTTGAATCGGATTTTTTATTCGATAGATCTTTTTGTTAATTAATTTTTGCAATGTTTTCAAGTTGTCCCGAGATAAAAAAAAAAAACCAAGCCCATAAATACGTTCAAAAAACGACTGTTTGGTGCCTTATCATGTGGCAAATAAATTAGGTAAAGTTTCATTTAATGATAATATCAGTTAGCTGTAACATACATGAAATAGTAAATGCAAGCAGAAAGCAGCTCGAAAATACCGTTTCCCATTATCTTTATCTTCACACGACATAAATTTTATAAAATGTGTTCTATTTATTACAGCACACAGCTCATAGGGTGTCAATCAATTTAACGGTCATTGGTATCTAAATGAATGTTTCACTGTAAAAGTGTTGAACAGCGCTGATGCTAATACACATCGAATGACATTGTCATAAAACAATGACAATGTAGTATACACAACAAAACGGGCTACTACATAATCACGTCTGTGTAATCCTAATTCAAAATGAAGTTGAAATTGACAAGTAGATTGGCTACCACGGTCATGATGATGTACTTTTTTTTATCGCTTAGAGACATATTTTTAACCGCATCTGTTAGGGTAACATCTGGGCATCTTTCAGCGGAACTATTATCCTTGTGATGTATTCCATGGACGCTTGCCAGTAGCGATCAAAAATACCTTTTTATGTTCCAAAATTTCATTTTCTCTTTGGTATTGATTGATTGACCGTTATTGGTTTTGTGTGTTCAAAATGACAACAGACCTTGTTCCTTTGTAGTAAATATGTTTTTTGCAAGAAGCAAACATTTTGATCACTTCTGGATAACAGGAGTTCGTCCTATTATTTTGGTTTCCGTGTTTCTGCTATATCTTTGGTTTCCTATGTGATCTTCTTTTTCCGCCTTCTTTCTGACTGAGGCTTCGATTTTCTTATATTTTTACTTTACCTATGCATGCCTATGTTTTTGGCATTTGACTTCTGATAATAAATAAAAGGAGGGGGCAATAAGACATAAGACTAGTAAACCTCCGCCCCATGTATTGTGCGCCTGTCCAAAGTCCGGCAAAATTGTAAGTTTACAATTTGATATTTTGTCATTGCGCTGCACAATTGGATTTGATCAGCGGTCAGTATATAAAGAAAATTGGAGGCGCGCTTGACAAATGCTACGTTTGTAACATGAAAGTTAGGACATAGACGATAGTTTTGTACATTATCAAACCAAAGAACCTTCTTATATATTTCTTCCTCAATTCGTGTTGACTTGTGTATTTTGAATGTTGATGCATTTATGTATGTCTGATTGTAGATTTGTTAAATGGGTTATATTAAAGGCGATCTTGTAGCGAGCGCACAAGCCTTTGATGTATTTGGTTTTATCTACAATATATAGTTAAGAAAAGTTTTATTTTCGGAGGAGTGAAATGAGGGAGAAAACAATTAAAAATAATTTAACTGCCCAAACAGGAATGCGAATACCTTATCTTATGAATAAGTAACGACTCAACTTCGTCTCGGCACTTTGGTATTTTTATTTCCTCTGTAGTCCGGTTTGGCACAGGACCTTGAATGTTTCTATAACAGCCCCAAATTACACCTTCAGTCTGGTTGAAAGCTACAATATGTTATATATAATTGTTAGATCAAATTTGCCAAAAGCAATTGAAAAACAACAATTATACTATATGTTACCAATAAAGTATCGCTCAATCTCATTATTCATGTAATGCATGAAGTTGAAAACATTTTAGTCTTGTTGGTAACTAAGCAAGCACCTGCCTTTATTCCAATTTGCATGAGACTCAAATATAAAATGGTCTATTAAGAAAAGGATTACCGATATCTGAGAAGGGAATATCCCTAGATGCATGTTTTGTTTAACAGTGAAAAAAAAACTCCTTTTGCGTGTTCTGTTCAAAATACTTATATTCATATAGTCATGCTGCAATTTCTTATATATCCGAACTAATTATAATGTTCAAAATCATACCAATCTGAAGCCTAATTGTGATATGGGGGAAAAAATAATAGTTTTCATAAATCTGTCTTATATTGTAATAATTTTTTACCAAGAACGGCAAAAAATTTGAAAACGTCAAAAATGAGTATCTAGTAGAATTGGAAACATTTCATGGAAGAGAAACATATCAGGTCTAGTTGATTTATGGAAATATTTAGTAAAACTTTGGCATTAGAGGTATGATAGGAGAAGGTTTACATGGTTTACTAAACTTTGTAACAATGTTTCTTGTCAGATATAATTTTTGAAAGTTATTGTTAATAATTAAATAAGGCCATTTGATAATAAGATAAATCTACCGGTCTGTGCCAGGGGAAATTTTAGATTTTTCATTAATACATGTTCATTAGTATATGCACTATGGTCTATTTTGAATTAGAATATTGAAGCCAAAAAATAGTTCTGTTTCCTACTAACTACCTACATTATATCCTGCATTTTCATGTGTACCCTTATATATTTTGCGGACAATTTTGGTTAAGCACTTTTTTATTCACGATATTCTGGTTAAGCATGCATTTACATAGTTAGTCTTTGGTGAAAACTTTTTACTAGATATTGGTGATACATCTGTCAATATACTTTTTTCAGCTGCAAGAGCAAAATAAGCTTAATACGACATACTTTTTTTTATTATTGTGAAAGTATAATCATTGAAGTACAATGTATTTAGCAAGAATGTCTTATGATGAAAATAATCCTTTAATATCCGACACCCTCAGATTATCAAAATGACGCACCAAAAAAATGTTCGTGGAAAATAAATACAGTTGGGTGCAGACCAAGCATAACATGTACACGCCCTGTAAAAGTTAAAGTGGCGTTTACTCACTTACACTTCGTGTAATAATCGTTTATTATCCGTGAATTTTTTTCTTTATTTTCAGAGACCAAGCTGCAGATAAAATTAGATTAGAAGCAAACAATGACCAAATATTCGAAATATCGAATATTTCTATTGCTCTTGGTGTTTATATTGATTTTATTCACCGTAAAAAAGGAAACAACGAAGAACGGTAATGAAGAACAAGTGAATCATATCAACAAAAATGAAAAGGTACTAACTATATCTGGCTTTGTAATACATCACGTATTGGTCAACCAGGTCAATTCTTTTATAAAATATCAGCAAAGGTAAATTGCAAAGCATTATTCACAAATGAATACGTTGATTCGAGCCATAGGCTCCCACAGTCTCCAAGGAATATACCAAACGTTTATATAAATTTTTTTACTATGAGCGAACTTTAGGGTTTTATGAAGTATATTTCAATCAGCCATATCTAGGAAACAAAGCAAAAAAAAAAAAAAAAAAACACTTGTCTGGACTAATTCATTAATCAATCAATATATATCACAAGCAAAACTAGGAAAATTGTTTGGTACTGATGGTATATCTGAAACAAATGCATTAAGAGATGGTCATGCACCAGGTGTAAACAAAAAACGGACGTATTTTAGTGAATGGGTCAAAGGTTCTTTTGGTTGATGCAAGTTTGCTTGAGGTGGATGCCAAAAATATTGTTACACTTAAAAATTGCCAAATAAATGGTCAACAAAATAAAATTTCAACAATAGTCCCGTCGGAAAACAGACGTCAGTTTTAAGATAGCACCTTATGATTTTTTATGCAATTGAATCATATTCCTCGGTCGAACACTCTGGTTTAGGTAGATACAGAGATGCTTTACACCCATGGGGCGAGTAAATTGTAGTTGTAAGAGCATGGTGTGTAACGAGGAACAACGGCTCACTGGTTATCGGTGTACCTTACGATATCACTAATGATTATATAGCATTTACCGCACTCATATATTATGGAAGTAAACGATATCCTTATCTGACAACAAACTAGCATCAACATTATAAGGAAAAGAAGGCCAACGCGTTCATGTTTTTACAAAATAGCTGAAGTAATTCATTTAAAACATACTGTCTATCTTATGTAGGAAACATATTTATATTCTTGGCATGCTTTTGGGAGGATTGGAGCCTTTAATAGAAGCCCTTTTTTAGTTTGAACGTCTCAAATGAAAGTACATGTATGTTTGGAGAAACATAGAGCCTTTTAGAGAAGCTTATTTCATCAATACACAATCAAACACCAATAAATGTCAATCAAACAGAGAATCAATAGGTAATGTCAATCAAACAGGGAATCAATACACAGCTTTTATATTCCAGTAGAAGGATGGTCTTTTTCTTTATAGAATCAACCGAACAGTTCAAAGCTACGGTCAATCAAACAGAGAATCAACGCATAATTTAAAGCTAATGTTAATCAAATAAACTCATCATAGATACCTGGATTACAATTGTGCACGCCAGACGCGCATAAGACTCATCAGTGACGCTCACATAATAAAAAAGACCAAACAAAATATGAAGTTGATGGGCATTGAGGACCTCAAATTCTGAAAGGTTTTGCCAAATACAGCTAAGGTAATCTATTCATGCGGTAAACAATCCAACAGAGAATCAAAACTCAGATTATAGATGCCGGAAGGAGGATGCTCTTTTTATAGTGTTAAAATAAATTACATATCAATATTAAAAAAGAGGGGCGAAAGATACCAAAGGGACATTCAAACTCATAAGTCGAAAATAAACTGACAACGCCATGGCCAAAAAAGAAAAAGACAAACAGACAAACAATAGTACACAAAACACAACATAGGAAACTAAAGACTGAGCAACACGAACCCCATCAAATAAATGGGGTTGATCTCAGGTGCTCCGGAAGGGTAAGTAGATCGTGCTCCACATGTGGCACCCGTCGTGTTGCTCATGTTAGTACAAACCCGGTAATAAGTCTTATTTGGTAGGTCACATTCGGGAAATATTAAGACAGCTGGGGTGTGTAAACGTTCGACGATACATTTTACTTAAACGTTTGTAAAAGACTTTAGGTTTGGTTCACTAACTCATAATTTTGGCCCTAAAAATCTGAAATTTTTTCACTGCGAAAATGAGGTGAAAATTTGATTAAAACATATGCTAAATTATCGAATAGTTTTGCAGCTAAAAAAGATTTTCACCAATTGAATCATTAGGGACGTATTTGTCATTTTGTGACGTCATAATATAGGTGAATTTCGTAAAATCCTGATTTTTTTGCAAATTTCGGACAGTTACCGATAAATAAACAGTGGCGCCACCTTTCGCCCACAAATATTTCTGCTGAAATATTTCATTGTACACCATTTTATTTCCTTTTCTACAAAAATTTCAATGGGAGGGGGTGGCGCCACATATAAAATCATGAAAATGGGTGGTAAAAGTTGATAATTTCTAGGAAAATAGACAAAAATGAAATCTTTCTCTATTTTAAGCGAATATCTTCATAAATATGAAGCAGATATACAATTTTTCTTCTCATACTTTCAAATATCAAACATTTAGCAATACATTCACATTTGATTTACTTAAATAATTGAGGTTAAAAAACAATACAAGGCCGTTTTTTGGGGTTCCTTACTCTACTCTGGGGGTCACAGACCTCGACTTTTCGTTAAAATGCATTGAAATTAACGAAAGGTATCTTGTATAGGTTATATAGGGAAAACTTAATTTTTCATATCAATGAAACATTAATCGATAGATTGGTTAAAATTCAATGAGAAAAATTCTTTTAGTAATACTTCCGAAATGTCAAAAAAAAAAAAAAAATAACAGGGTCACGGACCGTATTTTCTTGAAAAATAGTAATAAACAAAACAACACAAATTGTCCGATCAAATTCAATATATGAATCTGTCATTGTTTTTAAAAGATTTTTTTCTGAAAATTTTAAATTCACTTAACGGCACTTTTTTTTGAAAGTTCAATTTTAAATGATTCTGTTGTATATTGAATGATACTTGGTAAAATATTTGTAGACAAAAAAGTATTTTTGCAAGAGCCAATAAGGGATGTTCAGAAAAAGACACCCGATGTACCTTAAAGAAATTGCAAATGTTCATTTTACAAAGTATGATGTATATTTTGTACATTTAGAATGCTAGTACTGGATATGCTTTTATTCATTTACCAAATAATATAAAAAAAGATTTTATCACTGATTCAAACAATTCATTTTAAATAATTTTTTTGAACAAGAATTTTATTTCTGTAAATATTTCCTGCAAGATTTGTTTGGATTATTTTGGATAATTATGAAGAATGTAATTCTATTATTTGTAGTTGGCATACACTAGTAAAATGTTGTTTTATCTGAAACTGTCATTGTGATCTAAACATGTTTTAAAATTCTGATTAATAAATTATTATAAAAATAAGATGATGTGGTATAATTGCCAATGAGACAACTCTCCACAAGAGACCAAATGACACAGAAATTAACAACTAAAGGTCACCGTATGGCCTTCAACAATGAGCAAAATCCATATAGCATAGTCAGCTATAAAAGGCCCCGAAATAACAAATGTAAAACAATTCAAACGCAAAACTAACGGCTTAATTTATGTACAAAATAATGAACAAACAAAATATGATACACAGAAATAAACAACAACCACTGCATTACTGCTGAGACATTTTTTATAGATGTGGTTAGATTCTTGGGGTACAAAGTGAGATTATTTTTTTTCTCAAATGGGGAAACTTCGAAAGGCCGCATATAATGCGTCTGCAGCAAAAGTCCCTATCTTCAGAGAGTTTAATTCTTTTAAAATTCAGTTCTTTACAAATGTTTAATAACTTCAAAGTTTTTACATCTAATTTGTACAGTCTTCTGCTCTTCAAAAAAGCTCAAATGGTTACGATCAGTCAATGACTAAAAATAGTGTCATGTCCAATATCAATCCATACATGTTTTGTTATTTCTATTTCTATTTGAGTTCCTGAGTTTGAGGGTTATTTGGGATAATGAATCATCTACATGCTTTCCCTCTAAAGCTCATCATATCATGACATAATTTGTAGTATTGATAACAACATGACAGTTAATGACTGTTGAGTGATCAGCAATAGATGAAGTATTTCAAGTAATAGAATTATAACATTATTACTGAATACTTTGTTCTTTTGTCCCTCATATTTCAATGGATAAGCAAAGGGACATTTTATGATTACTACAGCATGACACGGACGTTATCTTATACACAGTTCACATTTGTATTCATTTCAATCTGATAAACACATTTTTTGAATTTTCTGTAACATTTCATAATATTATGTCATTGTGCTTCTGAAGCAAATGACGCACTGAGGAATCTAACTTTAACATAACTTTGCACATTTTCCATAAAATGTGTGAATATCAACTAAGTATAGTTAAAAGAAAAGTTACTTAATCACTCCTGACGCGCATCTACATTTGATATATCTGTGCTACACAAGTCAAAAAAGTGGGTATGCAACAGCAATTATGATATTGAAGAACATTGAAAGCCTAAAATGTAATAAAAAAAGGCCCTTTTATCAAAGGCTACCTGAAAAAGTTTTTTCCACTTTTTCGAAGGTAAAATTTTAACAAACAAACAACAAAACGAAAAAGCGGCATCAACAGTTAAATGATGCTCAAAACTCGTAAAGCTTTTTTTGTACACCATGATTATTAAAATGAAGGAATTGTAAATGAAGTGAGTCTAGGTGCGTCGACTTTGTAATCTTCACCCGCTATTCGAGCATCTTCTGGTCAATTATTTTTGTTTTGGAATAACAGCTTAAAATTGCTTGCATTGGTGCGTATGTTTCCATCCTCATACTAAAGTAGATGCATATAACTATCTGGTATACCATTACTGGTCCAAGGATCACCATTCGATTCGTATTCTACAAATAATGCATAGCATGCATAACACATTTAATTTGAACAATGTAATGAAAGATTTCACTGAATGCAAACTTCTTAGAAAATCAATACCTGAGTTCTGAGGCAGCCCTGAATAAAACGGGTAACTAGCTAGGCAGTATTTTTGTTGAAAGTAGGAATCATTTGTTTATCCAAACATGTTTGTTGTGCAAACGTTTTTTACTCGAAGGTATCTGAATCTAGTATCAAAGTGAGTCATGGTAAGCATGGACGGATCAACGCTCAACATGCTGATAAATCAT